TGAGAGAAAAAAAAACCATTGATTTTCCTCCTGGCTGACTACTAAAACTTCAGAACTCTTTTTTGTTAACTCTCGGTTTTCTGCCCTTATGCAGAAATGATCTTTAAAAATAGATAAGCATCGTCATAGTTAATGCTAGAGCTTCTTCTATTTTTTTTAATGCTGAGTAGATGACAATGTCGATAAGTACGTAAAAGTAAAAGCTTCATGATGCTTTCTTTTAGACCAACAGTAAATTATGCTTTGCTCTTTAAATTCTGAGAGGTAAAACCTGTCATATCAAAAGAAACTTGAGCCTAGCAAGTAAATAACAAACAGTGATTCTCTAAACCTGAGAATCTAAAAAGAACATTTGAGTGAGCTAAGGGTTTCAGAGGCTTTTGTGTTGATGATGATGATTGAATTTGAAGAGACCAAACTCAGTTGCCGGACTGAGAGGAAGAAACTCAGCTGCAGGACTTTGGACAGTTGCCACTCAACCAGCCAAAGTAACTGAGAAAAAGCTGGTGCTGGCAGGTAGAGTCAATAAAACTTTCAACTTACTGGATCAGTAAAAATTAATGGATATTCACTATTTTGCTCTAGAGTCGTGGATTGGAGAGAGGAAAATAGAACGTATATTACCTTTCTTATCCAAAAGAACCATAATGCTATCTCTGTGAATGTGTCCGTAGAATTGCCCTGCAATGATGTTGCTGTATTTCCTAAAAATCTCTATCAATTTCTCATTATAGTATTCTCTCATTGCCGTGATGCTCCTTGAAAAAGGCAGGTACCCCACTGGAACATGAGCTATGATGTACACCTGTAGAGACACAGGGAAGACTGATGAGAATTTTTTTACACATTTATCATAATGAAATGTCATTTAGATACCCAAGACTAAAAGCATGTTAATTAAATTTCAGAAAGTAAATATACCATCTCTCCTATTTATTACCAAAAAAAGATGAAACTATGAAACTATTAATGTCACTACATTTGCTCTTGTCTCATTTAAATTACACAGTTGATGATATCAGATAACTGTGACCTTGCTCACAGCTTTTTTTTTTAATATCGACAGACACCCATCAATCCTCAAAGCATTAAAAGCAAAACAAATCAAACAAGTAACAACATGAGAGGCAAATCCTAACATGTTTCATGTAAGAACATCTTTATATTTTAATACTTTTGTTAATACCTGATCCCCTTTCTCAAGTTTCACAAATACACACGTTTAACCCTCTGTTTATCCCCTGATGATGTTGGTTCATGGCATCTACCTTCTCCTTATTTTGCTGAGAGACGTTCAGCGTATTTTCTAGCCATTTGAGCTGATTTGCTGGGTCAGTCATATTGAGGGTCACAAGATCTGGGCCATAGTATAAGTTTGTGTTGAGACTGATGATCCTAAGGTTCAGATTAGTTGAAACTTTCTGTGAATAAAAGCCACCTATAAAAACAAATTTAAAACACATTCTAGAAAAATACATACATAGGTAAACAGACATTGTAAAGCAAAATCTTAATTAAGGTTTACAAGCCATTCAGGAAGGTTATACTGACTTCTCATCATTTAGTTTGCACATGCATAGGCTGTCACTGGATAAGATTTAACAAACACTTATTGAAAATCTACTATATGCCTGCTCTACATATCGAGGTAACAACAGTTGTATGCAACAGTCACATGAAAAGATAACTAAATATTTTGGCCCCAGGCAATAAGGTACTGAATTCATGAAAGAAAGACATCAACTCCTAGGTTTATATGTTTGGGGAGTTAAGATGAGAGAGATTGTGAAATATGAAATCCAAGAATGGGAACACACAGGGATC